GCGCTCTGGCCGGGCAGGTGAGAGCCTGGAGGGACCCGTCCGCGCCGTCGGCCAGGGGGTTGGCTGCGAGGGATGGGGGCGGCCGCGCCAGGGGCGGACTCCACTTCCCCTTCTCTCTGTGCTTGCCTGGTGGCGCCTCTGTAGTGGCTGGGGACTGGGCTCTGTGGCGTCTTCCCACCACGGGGGCCTCCTGGGCTTTCCTGCCCACTGTCCTCTAAATCGACTTAAAACTTTCCGTCCAGAAAAAGTGAGTTACAACTTCTCTTGGCCTCTTTACAGAACCTGGCATTTCCTTTCCGTTGCGCATTTAGGACTTTATCTTTCCACTTGCCCTCAGTGGAAATATTTTGCACAACTTCCTCCGAGTTGGGAGCACTGGGAAGGCCTTAGTTTCTAGTGGGAACTGCTTGTGGGTATATGTGCGTGTGTGCTAGTGGACGGGGACTTGCTGTGTGCATGTCAGTGTGCACGTGTGGGAAGGTTTTGTGTATTTGAGTAGGAGCCAACGTGTAAGCACTGGTGTGTGTGCCTAACACGTGTGGAGAGAAGGCTCTGCCCTCCCCCCCCAAATAAAAAATTCCAGGGAGGCCTGGGACCAGGGGAAAGGTGGCAGGCCCCAGGGGACCCAGGTGGGGAGAATGTGAAGCTGCTTACCCAAAAAGTGAAGGTTGTGGAGGGCTTCTCTCTCTCTCTCTCTCTCTCTCTCTCTCTCTCTTTCTCTTTCCCCCCTCCTCTCCCCCTCCTGCCAACTCAGCGCTGTCTGCCCAGGAGGTGCACTGGGGTAGTTCAGGGTGGGAAGCTAGGGACCCAAGTTTAGTTTTAGATTGGAGTGGGGCAGGAGGAGATTGGATCAGGTTTCCAAGAGTTTTCCGTAATTCCACCAAGGTCAAAGGCTAACTCTAGCCTCACTCCTCCCTTTCCTCAAATCTTCTTCTTCCCCTCACCCCCCCCCCCCCAACTCAGGTTCTGTTCTTTCAGCTGATAACGCAGTTTCCACCCTCAGCATCCCCCTTCCTCTAGGTTCTTGGCCCAGTCCCTGGGTTGTTTCCATTCCCCCTTGGGAATGGCACCTGGGCCCCCAGGAGTGTCAGCTGTGGCCTCCTGGGCTTTTAGGGCCCTGGGCCACCCCTCTGCACCAGAGGTTTAAGTAGGGAGATCAATAGCAAACAGTTGTAATGATCTAATTAATTATGGCAAAATTAAAAGCGAGTACAAAATCAATCTCTGATGGTGTTGAAGATGGAATTCAATTGAGAGCCCATCTGTGCACCCCCTCGACCGTATAAATATGCAGCCCAAGGACAGATCTAATGGCTGGGCCTTTCTGGGAACCTCTCTCCCCCTCTCCTCCTCTCCTGCACCCGGCTTCTCTCGCCCTCACTCTGTCTGGATCTGTTTTGTCCCCTGCCCCTATTCCTCCTTCTCGCCCTGTCTCCTCAGTCTCCTGACACTCCCACTTCTCCATTTTCCCCTTTGGAAGGCAACTCTCCCTGCCTTGCAGGCCTGGGGTGCCTGGACCTGCTTCCCACCCCCAGAAGACGGAGCTTCTCTACAGCGCCTCAAGGAGAAGGCAGAGCGGTGGGGGGAGGGGGGGAGACACCATACTTGACCACCGGTCAGGGCCCTCATCTCAAGTTTCCTGGCGCTCGGGACACTCCAGAGGGGACCAGGGCGCTTACCCAGTAGCGGCTCTCCGGGCTGGCCGGACAGAGCGGCCAGGAAGATTAGCTGGGCATTGCATTACCTTCCCCTTCGCTCTTTCCCCCGCTTTTATCGGTGGGAGGATCGCATTCCCGCCAGTCGCGGTTTGGGGACGGTGGGGAGGAGCTGTGGAGCCGGGCCTGAGAAGAGCTGTTTCTCCAAAAGGAAGTCGCTGTTCCCATTGAGGAGGCCCCACCGAGCGCTGGAGTCCTCCGCCCCCCAGCCGCCTTCTCTCTTTCTCTGTTCACTGCCTCCTCCCGCTCCTCTGCCCTCACCTCTTTCAGACACAAGCCTGGCTGGGGCCCAGCTGCCCGGGGCCTCGCGTCGCCCTGACGGCCCCCGCGTCCCTTTCGGCTCCATCCAGCTCGTTCACAATGACAATGACACCGCGCGTGCGAGCGCTGCTGCCGCAGACGCCCTGGCGCAACCGCCGCAGCCGGGTTTGCGAAGGATGCGGGTTTTATTCAGTGGCGCTGAGCCTGTTCCAGAGCAGCCAAAACCATCAGAAAAAGGGGGAGGACAAGGAGCGGGGGAGAGAATCAGCATCTAGGTCAGCTACGGTCAGACCACCCAAAGCCCCAGAACCATAAAAACAAGACCTTTACTTAGGGTCCTTTCTTTTACTCTTGTGGCCTGTCCCAGCTGGCTCTCAGGCTCCCGGTCACTGCCCCCGGCCTCTCTCTCCTGGAGCCTGCGCCCACTTCCCGGCCCCCAGTGGGTTCCCAGGGCTCT